GAGCTACCGTGTAATTGCTGGGAATTGTATTCAGGACTTCTGGAAGAGCACAGTCATCTCTCCAGTCCCAAATCTGGCTTCTTTATGCCTGTTTTATATTACCAATACAGCTATAAAATTTGTTATCTTTGCATTTATTTCTCCTCTCTATTTTTTCTACAAATTAAGCTTCTGAATGAGAGATTTATAACTATACTTTAATTTTGTTATATTAGATGTATTTTAGTATTCATACATGAATATAATATATTTAGATCAAATCCACCCCATTCCTCACCTCTATTATCCTTATCCCTCATCACTTCCTCCCACAACCTCATGTGCTCTCTCTGTTTGTTAATACCCTCTGAATGTATTTAGTGCTACCTGAATGTATGTGGATATGGGATCATCTTCTAGAGCATGGGTCACCTCTCAGGACCCGCACGCCTGAAGAAAACTGAATAACCCTCCCCAAGCAGCTGTCGATTTACAATAGCCCCTCAGACTCAGGAGGGACATTGTGAGCCTCTGACCCATGCATGCTGGATTTTGGCCGATTTGATCTTGTACAGGTCTTAAGCGTGCAGTCTCAGTCTATGCAAGTCCCCATGTACAACTATGTTGTCACGTCCAGCAAGTACTGTTTCCCTACAGAATCTATTCCCTCTGGCTCTGACAGTATTTCTTGTTCCTCTTCTGCAATGGCCACTCAGCCTTGGGGGAAGAGGGTATGATAGAGATGTCCTATGCAGAGTTGGGTAATCCAGTCTCTTATTCTCTGCATATTGACAGATCGTGTGTCTCTGTATTAGTTGGCATCAAAAACAAAAACAAAAAACAAAAAGAAGCTTCTCTGATAAAGGTTGAGAGTTACACAACCTATGAGTATAAAGGTAAGAATGTAGGGATAATTGATTACTAGGTCCATTTAGCAGAGTTAGTTGTATTATTCTTGTTGGTAATGTATTAATCAAGGGTTCCAAGGTCTTTGTTTTCTTTATTTGAAATTCTGGTATTATAAATGATACTGGAAATTGTTTTATGTGCAGTGACAATTCATGTTCTTCATTTGGATTATTTGTGTAATTTATTTGTTTGTTGTTAATATTTAATTGTGCAGCTAACCTTATATTAATTTATATGAAAGAACCTTGGTATATTTAGGAGACAAACTATTATCAGGTAATCTTTTCTCATTGCATTCCTATGATTTTTCCAAGGGTGCTTGGTTTTAATTTATTAAATACTTATCTTCATATGTGGTCAAATCTATCAATCTTTTTAACTGATAGCATAGGTAGAAAACCTTCCTAACCATTAGACTATGTAGACACTTAAAAATATTGATATCTAATAGTGAGAACAGATAAGAATGAACTTTGGTATTATACAGGTGTTGGATTAACTCTAGCAATTAACTATTTGTAACAAATTTATTTTCCAAAGATTGGTGTAACCACATTTCTCATATCTAGAACTTTCTACCCTATACTGGAGGCATGAAAACAGTGTAGTGCAGTATACATGACTTCCAAGCCTGGGCCAAAGAGAAAAAAACCACCAGAAATAAAGGATAGAGTCTCCAGCTTCTGGTTTTCTTCTGTCTTTGGTCTTCCTCTGAGACCTTGGTCATCAAGGAGAAGAGACCAACCCCAGTGTTTACCTACAAAATTCTGACATACCATTCCAGTGCTCACCAATGTTTTACACATGGTTTATACTGTACCATGTGTTACACTGTACCATGGTTTCAATGTGAAATGTCCCTCACAGGCTCAGATGTTTGAATATTTGACCCCAGACTGGTGATGGGTTTTGAGAGACTATGGTAACTGGTGTATGGGGTGTAGCCTGACACTCACAGTTTTGAGGGTCAATAGCTCACTCCTGTTCCAGTACAGTCTGTGTTCCCTGACCTTCCCATATATAAAAAATCAGGCTGAAGTCTCCTGTCACCATGAACCCTATAATGCATTCCTCACTGTGAAACCTGAAATAGAGAGTCAAAATAAGTCTTTAGTGCCTTAAATTGCTTCAGTCAAGGATTTACTTGGTTACAGTGATGACAGCAGTCATGACTGGAAAATGTAATTTTCTGATACTTGTCTATTTATTTCACCAGCCTGGTATCAGATTTCTTATCTATCAATTTGTCTACATTATAGAAACCGTGAAAAGCATGTAAGCTTATATAGCTACGCACATAAATGTAAGGCATTCAAAATTTGTCTAGATATATTAAAACTAATAATTATAGACACAACAAATGTTTTAAAGTAAAACTGTTTTTTCACAATTATAGCTTTAATACATGTGAAATTCATTTTGGATCAATGCATGGAGTTGTATGAACTATTTGTTGGTCAATTCCAGATTCATAGGTTGCCAGACCAAGTACAACTCTTGATCAAGAGGACATCTGTAAAACAATCCCTGTGTGACTACTCTAACACATGCAGGAGGAGCATCGGGTGGCTACAGAATGGGTATTGGGTGTGCCATCATTTGGGGAAAGAAACTCTCAGCCAGGTTTTACTCTGGGTTTTGTTTATTTGTTTGTTTGCTTGCTTGCTTTCTTGTTTGCCCAAATTGCATGCTAGAACTGGGGAGAATGTTCCATGATGGGTGAAGTAAAAGAAAATATCCTCAAGGATTAGGACAATGTCTCCTAGGTTTTCAGGAATCCTGTAAGAGTCTCCTCTTTCATGAGTAATGCATTCAGACCCTGCACCTTCTCTCACTCAAGAGAAACAAAACGCAACTTCATTTTCCAACCTGGAAGTTCCATTTCCAAAGATGTTGCCCTTGAAATTTAGAGAATAAGGGTTTGGATGTAGTTCAGTGGTAACGTACTTGCTTAGAATTCATGAATTTGATACCCAGCATCATACCACACCCTTTAAAACTTAAAAGAAAATTGAAAAAAGTGAAGAATGAAAATGTTCATTAAAATGTGGTCTCAGTTACAGACTAGCTTTAGATTTGTCCCATTTACAAAATGTGCTGGGTACAAATTGTATCATAGATTGATCCATACCTTGGTCCAAGAGTCCAGATACTTACCTGTTGATGTCTGCATCCAAGTTGAGAGTTTTGCAAGTGGACAAAGCAAATCTTGTTTGGCAAAGAGAAAAATCTATAGATAAGTAAGCAACTGAGCTTTCAAAAGTCAAGGATCCCTGCAACTGGGTACTGACCAGGACAGAGTCGGTGCAGGCAATATAAACATCCATGTCTGCATAAAACCCAGTGCAGTGAGGCCTTTACAAGCTTGTAATTAATTACAACTCTTCAGGCTCAACAAAGTCCAAATTGTTAAACATTGGTTCAGGATCTTTTTAAGAATCATTTTGAAAATCAGTGCTAAATAACATTTTTCCTACACTAACTTACTATCCTCATGTATTGAGGGGTGAACGAGTCCAGATACATCAAAATTCCAGGACACAAACTCAAACTCTTATTGCATTGGTTTTTCCAACCTATGTTGAAAGCTGTCTCCATGGTTTTGGGTTTGGTTTAGGTGTTTTCATTTGGTTTTGGCGGGGTTGTTTGTTTGTTTTGGTTTGGTTTTTTGTTTTGCTTTGTTTTGTTTTGTGTTTTTTTTATCTATCCATCCTGGCTATAAAGACCAAATTGGGAATTCCCCCAAAATAACAGCAAACTACATTCTCAGACACAAAACAAAGAGAGAAAATTCTTTAATTCCTCAATAGAAGAACAATTTATTCATTGGAGAGCTTATTGTGCCATAATTTGTTGAGAAGGCTCATGGGAATCCAGGACCAGGAATGGATTGGGACCAGGCTTCCCAATCAGAGAAATGTGGTTGTCCTCTGTTCACCTTGACCCCATGTGTGATGCTACAGAGTCTGTGCTACTCTGGTTTTGTTTATTCTTTGATACTTGATTCATGTAGTGTCTGAATGTTTCTCCTCTTACTGGTGTTAACTTCTGTTCTTTCATGCTTTCTGCTATTCATAACATTATATTGCAGTGGCATACATTATTACCCAAACACTATGTCCTAGTTAACTTTATCAACTTAGAACAATCAATTAAGAAATTGCTTAGATCAGATTGCCTTGTGGACAAGTCTGTGAGGGACAGTCTTGGTTATTCTTATTTACATAAAAGAGCCAAGAACACTGTGGGTGGTCCCATTCCCAGGCAGGTGGTCTGAAAAGCCTGCTGATGAGCTATCAAGCATTTGTACCTCTATTGTTCCTGTCTCCAGACCCCTGCCTAAGTTCCTGCCCTGGCTACTCTCCATGTTGCACTAAGATCTGGAAGTATAAGCCAGATAAACCCTTTCCTATCCAAACCCTTGGCTTGGGTCAGAATGTTTTATCCCAGCAATAGAAAGGAAACTAGAACATGGTATACTTCATATCCTGTTACCTTTAACTATGACAGAAACCCTTTATCACTTTTTTTCTTCATTCCCATCAGAAGAAATTGAGTAGTCAATTTTGAGCAAGGCCCAATCCAATCACCTGATTCAACCCAGAGCCTTGATAATACAAACCAGATCCACATGCACTAACTTATTTCTGCATCAATGACAATTTCTACAAACTCCTAAACTTTTGTGATTTAATCTCTGTGTTTAACATCCAAAATCCTTAAGTGAAAGTACTGTTCCAGGAATTCTAAGAGCTAGTCCAAAAAGAACCACAATTCAGAAGACTTGGTACAGACCAGGACAGAGTATACACACAGATTTCTCTGTGCAAAGTTGGGATATCATTTTGACCCAAGACTTTGTTTTCATATAGGAGATAACTAATTCTGAGCCTAGTCACAACAAGCAGCATTGTCAGCAAACCAAAGTGTCCTGCCATATGTGAGAAAAAGACTGAGCTCCCAGCCCAATTTCTCCCATGACTATTTGCTTTATCACTGCCAGATGACTTTCTCATTTACCATTAGTTAGGAGAGGAAAGCAAATAGAGACTGGGGGAAATGGGGTATGTAGTAAGTTGAAGAATGACACCAAATCCATAGGAAATTCAGAACTAGAGTCCCATTGGGAGGTTGCAATAGCTACTATGTTTGCAACAGATGAGCTCTGTTCTCTTTTCAAAACTCAGGAAGTTGATGTCCTCACAGTTGGTCATACATGACAGTCTTGAATAATGATACATACTCTGCCCTGAGGAGGTAAAAGAGGGAAAGAATTTTAAAGACTATTTCCTCCTTCCATATTCCTGGTAATAATTCATCTTCAAACCATCATAGCCTTCCTCTAATCATTGCTAACCCAGGGAAGGGATTTCATTCCAGAATTGACAAGAGACATCAGTCCCTCCATCACTCAGTGTTATCTTAGGGAAAGGTCTGTCTTTCCATCCCTGTACAAGCCCAGTCATCCTCATCAACTCCACTCTCCCACTCTTCCTAAACACAAAAAGCACACTGCTATTTAGAAGGGAAGGTGAGGTTAGCTGCTTGTCACTATATCTCCCATATTACCTTTCCTTGTGAGTATGTAAATGTTCTCAGCAGCACAGGACTGGCTATGCTTCAGTGTGCAGGAACTCATGACATCATAGCATAGCCCAAGATGATATTTCCCACATTTATAACACATTGTTCCAATATCTTCAAGATACAAAAAGAAGTACTTGGTGAATGTGATCTCAAGAAAATTTCTGCAATTAGAGCCTTCTCTGTGGGAAGTTAACTATTAATCCATTGGTTCTAAACTTCTCCAAATAGGACTCCTATAGTAATCTTGTGAGAGGGAATGTTATGTTTTGATTTGTTTTGTTTTATTTTATTTTTTGAGACAGGGTCTCTCTATGGAGCCCTGGCTGTCTTTAAACTCTTCATGTAGTCCAGACTAGCTTTGAGCTTAGAAATCCACCTGCCTTTGTGTCCCAAGTACTAGAAATGTGAGAGACAAGCTTATAGACACACAAAAAAATGTATACCATTTGAGGAGGTCAGGGTTCCTATAGAATTTACTCCTAAGGTTCAAGAAATAAACATCTTATATAGACTGAATATTCTGTCAGTAATGAGTAAAAGAAAACAAAGTTATTTTCACCTCCTTACTAATATAAATAGAGTAGCTATGCCAGGAGAAGCCTGAACTCCAAGGATTCCACAGTAAATTGAAGGGAGGTTTACTCCTAAACATGTCACTCCTAAACATGAACGATTTACCGAAAACTTTACACCAGCCATGGTCATACCTTCTTCATGTTCCTGAAGGTCACCTGTGAAGAGAGGGAAAGGCAGTCTCCCTTGTCACAATCTCACAGACCTCTACAGCCCCATAGCCAGTTTTGGAAACCCCTCCTTTCCAAGAATCTAGACAGTTCTTAAATAACCATGAACTGTCTCCTCATCACCAGGACTTACCCCAATATGGGCAGAACAGAAAAACCATCCCCAGAACAAACAGAGCAAACATCCTGCAGCCTTTGTCTTCAGCAGCTTCCTGTGAAAGGTACAGGCTCTTTTCTCATTGAGATGTGAGGTTGACCTGTCCTTGGGCTGTTCGTCTTAATTACATCGTCATTAATTCTCCAGGACAGACAGTACCTCTCAGTTCCCAGGATCAAGGTATCTTGTCTGACTCCCTCAGGACACACTCCGAGACCTAAAAGTGAAGTTGTGACTTCTCTGATTCACCAGGCTGGCTCCTGTCTCTGGACCGCAGGTCTGACAGATCTTATGGTTGGTCTTTAGAGCTCCCTCTGTCCCGTCCTTAAAGGAGAGAGACAGCAAACCTCCTCCAGTCTACCTGCTGACTGCCCTGCAGCTGCACACATTTTTCTGTTTCCACTGCCCTGGCCATGACCTACGCCACTGTTATCTTGACCAGCCAATAGCTTTATGGTTTGGCTTCCTTGCTTCTACTCTTGCCCCTTCACGGTGATTTCTTCAGGTAGAAGTCATAGAACCCTTTATAAGTCACAGGTGCCATGCTGCCAGTCCAAACCCTCCAATGTCTTCTCAGCATAGTTAGGAAAAAATACAAAACTCTTTGAGCTGATAAGGCATTCCCAGGGGAAATAAGTAACAACTGCCTCTCCAATGTCTTTTCCAGCCATATTGACCTTGCTGACTTAGGTCCTGACTCAGATGCCACCCAGACAGATACAACAGCCTTACGAGAGCTGTCTGTGGAAAACAGCACCTCCAGCTCCCTTCCTGTCTCACTCCTGGTCTTGTATATCTGTTTCTTCATATCTTGACTCCTTCACTAGGACAAAGCAAGAGTTTTGCTTTATTTCACATGACACATCATATAGCTTGGGGCTTGGATATAGAAAGCATCCGATAAATATTTGTGACCTGAATGAATGATAGCCTTGCCACATCTACTTTTGCATTCATAGTTCATGCTCCACAGAGCAAGCAGGTTTATCAGATTGTTTATCTTTTAATTTTGAGATTACAGTATAATTACGTCATTTCCCTCTTTCCCTTTCCTCCCTCCAATCTCTCACATATACCTCTCCTTGCTCTATCAAATTCATGTTCCTTTTTCATCAATTGCTGTTACATGCATATATGTATAGATTTGTTCATACATATTCCTAAATAAAAACTATTCATTCTGTATAATACTACTTGCATGTATGTTTTCAGGACTGACCTTTTGACATTGAATAGCCAGTTGATGTGTTCTCTAGGAACGATTATTTCTCCCACTCTGAACATTTCTTCCCTGCCTGTAATTCTTTATGTAGGGTTGAGGGCGCCTGGGCTTTCCCTATCCATTTGGCATGTGTGTTGCTGTTGTCCTTGTTCAGCTCATGTTTAGGCAGTCAAGTTCATGGCACTCCATGTGTGTAACTTCTAACACTCCTGGGACACACAAACTCACAGCAAACTCCCATTCCCATTGGCTCTTACAATCTTTCTGGGCCCTGTTTCTCAATGATTCCTGGGCCTTAAGTGTGGGAGTTGTGTTGTAGATACATCAGTGGGACTGAACTCCACACACTTTGCATTTTTGATTAACTATGGTTTTCTGTAATGGTCTCAAAATGTTTCAAAGGGAAGTTTCCTCAACAAGGGGTGAGGACTATCCTTACCTGTGGGTATAACACATATTTAGGGATTATGTTAGTTTGGTACAGTGGTAGTTATGGATTCCCCTTCAAGATTCATGACTTCACTAGCCCTGGGAAGTTTCTAGGTTTCCAGTATCAGGCATGATTTCCCTCTTGTTGACTGGTTCTTAAGTACAGTTAGAGAGTTGTTGATTACCACCAAAGAATGCATGCCACTAGTGTTCCCTTACAGTTATCATGGCCCTGCTGGTCATTGCTGGGTTTCATAGGCATCATAGCTAATTGCTTCTCTCCTTTGGAAACTTGCATGGTGCCTTCTAGTACCAAGAAAGCAAATCCTCAGGGAGGAGGCTTTCAGGTCTGCTCCAACTCATGGGCCTCTGGATGTTGTATCTAAAGAGCATGGTGTCTTCAGTCATAAAGACTTACCTTTCAATTCTGGGGAGGCAACCAAGGACAATAGTGATAGTCTTTATATTTAGGGTGTCTCTTGGTAAACCCTGCCCAAAAATGAAAAGGAGAGTTTCTTGTGCCTAGGATTGAAGTTGTTTCTTGGAAAGAGTATTGTCAACCAAATGAGAAAGTTTTATTTAAAGTATGTATGTATATTTATATACTGATTTATGTATATGTTTTAGGTAAATAGTTTATAGTAGGATTCCTTATGACTTTTTCAAGCATCCTTACTGTTATTTTACCTCCTTCTACAATATCTTTCCCCTCCAATCTAGAACCCTCCCCCTTTTTCCATTTCCCCAATCAGTACCACCACATGGCAAATTATCCCATACCCCACAATCATCACAATTCAACCATAACAGATCACACACTGGGTCCTCATGGGAAATTTCTTACAAACAACCCAAGGCTCATATGCTACCCAGTATATCTATTGATGGGATAGGTCATCATGGACACAGAATATCTGTGTGAACCAACTACATCTGTAAGTGGGAGACAATCAAATGGATCTGTAAAATATCTCTACACATGGGAACTTACATAATTTGGTAGATATTCACAATGAAAGTCATTTACTAGTGACTTCTTTTTTTTTGGTGGGGGCCTTTCCAGTCAATACTATAATACATTCTGGAAACAACACTTTAATGGTACAAGGGGAGTCAGAGGCTCCAGAGAATAATTACCAGGGAATAAATACTTTTCCTCTGTGATTTTCTACCAATTCTAAAAAGTCCCATAAGGTCATAAAATTAGCCATGTCTTCACAGATGCTATAAGGTTAATAATGTTCCTGTACATGCATGTCCTTCATTTAATTTCCCTTAACTTTTGTACACAGCATCCACATTCAACCATTAACCCACTGGTCCAACTTCTTAGTGAATGTCTTATCGCCTGTGGGTGTCCACTGATTCCTTGATGGTTCCTTCTCCCTTTCCTCTGCCACCACCACTGGCTGTTTGTCTCCTGCCCAGTGCAGGTGTTCCTGGAAGAACACCAAAAAGGCCCACCTCTTCTCACAGGGAACCTGGGCGGGGTTAGAAAAGGGAATAGGGAAGTATGGAGAGGAGCTACTGAGCACGGTTCCTGCCTGATGTTGCCACATGCCAGGAAAGGCTTTTACTCATTCTCTCCAACATTTCTCTCTTAATAAAATAGCTGCATCCCAACAAAACACAGAAAGTGATATCTGAAATACTGAGAAGCACCAATAGTCTTCAAAACCTCTCTGTTTGCTCATCAGCTAAAGGCAAATCAAAAACCTGTGGTTTCCTACATTACTCTGTGCCCACATCCTTTTCTTCGGGCTAGCCACTTACCTCTGTGCATAAACAAGTTAAACGGGGAATTAATCATTGTCTCAGTCAATCGACTCCAGGAACTGCAGAGCCTAGCTGTACAACTCCCTAAATTAGAGCACTCATTCATGAAGTTAAGTCCATCCCCTCAAGCAATAGGTTCTTCTTAGATCAACTGAGCAATGATCAAGCCTGTCTAGTGAAGCATCTAAAAATAAGACATGTCAGGACCATGAACAAAATGTTATCACACCTCTCTAGTTGCTTCTACCAACATGGCCGAATCATTAAATCTCTTCTCTGTATTCCTTAATTATATTAATGAACTTTAAAATCATCCTAAAAGTGATCACACACATACACCTATGTGTGCACTCTTCTATTGAACCTAGTGGGGCTATCAGAGCCAGGAATTTTGCTCAGAAATGTCAATTATACACTATTACTAAAAGGAATTTGGACTAATTTAACAATTTCATTTATACGACCAGTCACTATAATCCAATGTACTACCATGCAACAAAATAAAAACATAAGTACATGTAGTTAATGCATATATACACATAACCAGACATAGGTACACTTTTTTCTTTTTATTGAAAATAGATTCTTTCTTCTTGAATATATCCTGACATATAGCTTTGTTTCCCCTCCCTCTACTCCTTCCAATTCTTCCCCTGCCTCACCTCATTTCCAGACCCACTGTCAGGGACCTCCGCCATAATCCAGCTGTAGCATTATCACACCTTCTTCATAGAGAAGACATGACTCCAGGCCACACGGCAGAAATACCGCCTCTTAAGACAGGAAACAAGTTCTGAGAAAACAGACTTACGTCAGTTAAAGATTAAGCTATAGGCTTGAGCAATAGAGGATAAGATAGAATTGAAACCTGCAGTTAGGTTACCAGGCGACACAGGATGGCCTACTCCTCCCACTGACCTTTGCTCCACCAGGCTCATCGCAGCTGCAGTCAACACCCCCATTCCCTCCCCTCCTCACTTCCCACCTATGGTCCTATATAAAATCCCTTTGGGATGAATAAAGGTTGGTGGTCTTGCCGTCCATTCTTGTACCCTTTGTCCTCCATTTTCTCCAAGATGTCCCTGGTCTTATGTTGACTGACCCCCACTGAACGGGTTTCTGTCTCTCATTAGAAAAGAACAGGAAGTGTAGTAAACCCACCCTAGCAGCCCGGACTCACTGGAATCTGCCCACATCACAGTCTTGGCCTCCCTACACCTTCTGCATGAGCTTGAGTCTTAGACCGCTATATCCTCTATGTGAGGAGAACACCAGGAGAGGCTGGACATTGCAGAGTTGCCAACATCGTAGTCTTGGCCCACATACTTGGCCACATACGGGAGACAAGGGGAAAGGGAGAGACCCCACCTGCACCCACTGGAAGAAACGATGGAAAGATGACAGTATAAGAACACATGTGACCAATGTGACACCACCAAAATCTAGGGACTCTACACCAGCAGATGTAGCAGAAGAGAAGGACCTTGAAAACAACTTTATGAACATATTAGACACCCTCAAAGAAGAAATGAGAAAATCCCTTAAAGAAATGGAAGAAAAACAAACAAAAATGCAGGAAATGGAGGAAAAGGCAAACCAAA